CCACAAAGTGGTTAATTGCTCCTTGCGGAAAAAAGTTAGGACATTGAGGAGAAAAAAAACTTGAGAGTTTTGAAACTTCATTTAGGATCATCATAGCCACATGAATCTCAAAACGTAACTTTTTGTGACGATTGTGGAGCGATTGGACTACCGGTAAGACACGAATGCACTGGAGTGAAAGCACTTCTCAAATCACTTGTGAAAGATATTGATGGCAAATATAATGCAGAGACGTGGAAGTTAATCTTGGGTGATTCAAATTCTAATTGAAGATGGAGATCATCATTCGGATGATGGAGAATATGATGTTGAGGATAAGACTCATTGTGTGTTTATGGGAGGAGAGAGTAATGACTATATTGAACAAGCCTATTTTTTGTGTTTACTTTGATGAATTACTCAAGGATGTAATAACTGCTATTTGTATTGAATTACAAAGTTTCATATAAATTTCTAATAAAAAAAATTACCTGCAAATGGAAAAAAGGTTGATGTTTTATGAGAGAGAGAATGAATATGTATAATCTTTTGTTAGAGACTTCAAAAGGGCTTGCATAAGAAACAATGAGAGGAAGAAATATGAATCAGTTATGTTTTTTTGCCGGATTTTGTGGAGGATTCAACTTTCAAGTGATACAAAGTATATAAGAAAGTTACAAAAAGTTGATGTGTGAGTTCAAATTCTTGAAACAAGGGTACAATTAGGCCTCGGCAACGTAAGGTAAAAGTTAAACGGGTAATAAAATGTGTTCTACCTTTACTCTGCCCCTACACTTACCACATTGATCGCGCTTTACTTATATCTTTACCTCTACTTTACCCTTTAACCGGGTGATTACCCAATAAAATTTAAAAATACACTTTACCTTTACTTTATCTCTCTAACAGGTAATTATCCAATAAATATAAAAAATATAATTTCTCTTTAATTTCTCTGTTAATCAGATAATTTTCCAATAAAAAAATAAAATACATTTAATCTATATCTATTCATCTACTTTCTTAAATCACCAAATGATTGCATATGATGAGAGTTTCTAATGACAACTTATGAACATCAATATTGATTCTCTTAATTTCTAATGAATACGGAGTTTATCAGTTTGCCAATAATAAGTGAAAAGGTTAATTTATTATCTAAATAATATATATAAGATGTATAAATATATTTTTTCTAATTTTAAAAATCTTTTGATATAAAACATGAAAAACTTGTTTCTGAAGGATGTGAATCCTTCATCATTTTCTATTCTTAATCTATTCTTTTATTCAAAAGATGACTTAAAATATACAAGGAAAGCTTGAGCATCATTAGACAATTGTATTATTTATGTAGAGTAATTAATAATCTTAGCATATCTTACAACTGAAAGACATGTCAACGCTTTTGCTCTGATATAGGATTATACATGTATTTATAATTATTAAAGGCCATAAGTTTTGTTATGTACAAAAAATCCGACATATAAATATTGCCAACTGAAGAGGCAATTACTCGGGTAATGGGTAAGTAAATTGACATTACCTTTACTCTACCCTCTACCTCACCCATTGATAATCTTCCTACCTTTACCTTAACTTTTACCTTTTACTCTTGAGTAAAAGGTATTTTACCTTACCTTGCCGAGGCTTAGGTACAACAAGAAAATGAGGTCTTAAATGGAGAGAACCGAGAAGTTGAAGTCAAACTTTCACGTGGTGTTGAGGAAAGTTGGAGATGATGATGGATTCCACAATGGTGAAAATAAGTCAATGTTCAAGAAGAATTTTGTTGGAGGTTTGAAATCAGATGTTCAAAGTATGGTGAGATTTGAATTGTTATTGAAATGAAAGAAAATTTAGAAGATGATGATTCTAGCTTGATGGCTAGAAAAGCAACTCCCCATGTCGTAATGAGATCCACTATTTCAAATCTTGATAGTTACTCCAAAATGAATTTCCCAATGTAAATTTTCAACATGAGTTAAAATCCATTACAAAAACTCTAGTTGATCTTAAGATCAACGTAATGGAGTTGGGGAAAAGAGATATCAAAATGTAGAAGTAGAATTTTGGGAATATGAAAACTATCTTTCAAGATAAAATCCATCTTCAAGGAACTGTGGGGTTTCTTGTTTTACTTGTGGGTATTTTCATTTTCAGCGAAATTGTCTTCAACAACATGATGGAGTTCGGCAAAACAACAATTCACCTTCCACACAACAAGCCAAAGATAAGGGGTAGCATTCATTGATGTATTTCCTCATCAGTACACTTTAAAAAAATGAGAGAGCTCAAAATTAAACATGGTTATTCTTGCGTATGAAAAGAAACGTGCTAGATTTGCGGATGGGTCAATCTTCATGAAGTACATGTCAAGTTGGAATACACAATTAAGTGGAGTGAGTCAACTAAGGTTACTACAATCTCCGACTTGGTTCTCATATTGGTTTACCTTATATGGCTTTGCGGTAACTCATAATACTTCTAGAAGAATAGATTTACTCCTCATGGTCATTTTACAAACAACCTCTCAAACATTCTCTCCATTCATCACGCAAGTTCACGTACATCTCAACACTTCAATATGCTCAAAACGTCACTTTTTCATTGATGAAACAAGTCTCTACCTATGAACTCTTCAAACTTGCTTGAAAATCTATTCTCTACTTTTATATATAACTATTGGAGAATTTAAACATAATTCCAAATAGCAATTCTTATCCAACTTGTATATACAGAGATATATCATTGTAAATTTGATTAGTTTCCAATACGTGGCAATATGTCATTGGTTTCCCGAACCTTTTAGATGTATATTAATCCCTAGACTGAAGTGACGACATGTCATTTGTGACTTTTTAACTTCTAGAATTTTCACTTGCCACTAAATCAACATTAGATTTAGTCTAACTTGTGAAGTTCTCATTACTTAAATAAATCAATCAAAATAAACATGAAGTCAAAATTTTTTTCCCTTGGAATCTAAATTTTTGTAAGGATAAAAATAAAAATGCACATTCAAATCTTCTAGAATTCTTTTAATTATTCCATCAAATATAGACATTATAGCTAAACATATTCATAACTTGATAAACTTAGTTATAACTAGTTAGATTTAATCATAACTAGCTAAACTTTGTTATATATCTAACCTAACCATGATTGACTCCTTGGCTATCTCTAGTATCATTTTACATACACAAAAATTGGTTTTACAAACTAGGTACACTTCGAATCTAGGAAAAGTTTATTGGAAAGCAGTGATTATGAGATTGTTAAAAAGTATTGTGGATTATATCTTAATTTTTGATGTTTTATTAGAAATTGGTTTATTATGTCAAATTCTTGTTTAGTTGTGCTGATGCTGACCATGAACATGATCTAGACAAAAGTAGATTTAAAACTAAATATATGTTCACATTTGGCGACGTAAGCATTAAATGGAGATCTATCTTGCAAAAGTACTTAGTTCACTGAATAACAAAAGTTGAGTATGTGACATCAGCAAAAACGAAAAGAAATTATTTGGTTGAATAGACTTATCATGTAGATGGGATTGACACATGGTGTGATCAATCTTCATTGTGATAGCTAGAGCGCTTTATATTTGACATCAAACCAGGCCATGAATAGCAAAATAAAACAAATCTACATAAAATATCACTTTATTAGATAAGCAATGTTTAATAAAACGATTGAGCTAGTCAAGACAGAGGATAAATTCAAACGAGTTAATACGTTGACCAACATTATTACTTTGAAGAGTTTCAAGCGAGACTATGCTACTATGTAAGTTGTGCATGAAAAGCAAAAATAGAATTTGCTAACATAGTATCTTGATATATATCTTTATATATAAACTCTATCTTGTGATGATTACGAATCAAATTTAGTTAATTTTTGTGTAAAGAAGTGTTTTGTATAAATTTTTTTCTAGAATTTACCGCAGAGTAATTATACAGATTAAAAAGTTTTTGTTCCCATTATATTAACAAATTTTTAGTTAACTTTTTATATTCTTATTCTATGATTACGGTTCAGTACCAGTTAATTCTTGTATAAATTCTTGTGGTAGATTTTTGTCTAAAAATTCTCACGAAATAATAATATAGATTAAAAATATTATTTTTTACTTAACACAAATTAAAAATAAGTTGTTGAAATTAATTTTGGGTAATGAGTAACCTAAGTTTCTAATTTCTTAGAGCTACGTTGGTCTTCGATGTTGGATATATATTCCAAGTCTTCGGCACTGTATCAATATTATTTTTCACTATGTTAATAAATTCTCTATGTGGTTTCTATGTGGATATAAAACTTTTAAAAGTGAAACATGTTACTAAAGTGTGTACTCGTGTTTATTTATCTGAGTGTTTAGTTATCAACGTCCTACATATTTTCAACTGAAAATAAATCATTGACATGAACATAATCAGATGTGAATCACTACTTGTCGAAGTAGAGAATGCACATATGCTAATACTACCTATGTTTTTTACGTTCTTGTTAAACTTCTCCGCACACAACTTACATTCCTTGTGAATCAAGAACTACAGTGCAAAAAATTGTTGTGAACAAGTCAAAGCAATTCAACCCACATAAAAGAAAAGTATACAAGTAATAAAACTTGTGACTTCTTGTAATTATATATGAAATATTTTGAACTTTACACGCGGTAAACCTACCTTCGTGACATATATTTTCTAGCATGCATGACATGCTATCCAACATGCTAAATAGAATAATGCTTGTTTCCCTTGGTAAGATGGATGTATGTCTCAATTTCTAAATAAAGTTTTGGAAAGCTTGGCTATTATTTCACTACTCGCCACAAATCACAAAAATCTGGATAATTGTATCATCCACACTCTTCTTGAATGAAACCATAACTTTTGCAATGCTCGGCCAATACTTCCAATTCAACTAGAGGTACCTCTTAATTAGACACCAATGCTATCTCAATATCAAATAGCCACACTATTTGATATTGAGACTCTAAACACTCTTGCAACCTAGCAAATTTTATATCATTAATGGTATTGTTGGAATTTATAAGTTTACTTTCAAATCAAACTAGAGGATAATGCAGAATCTACTAGAACTGTATGTACATCGAAGTATGACCTTGTTCAATCGTTGAGAAAAAAAAACGAAAAAGAGAGGTCTCCTATTGTACCCAAAGACGAAAAAAACTCCTATTGTATCCATGTGGTGCAGTGATAATACTTGTAAAAGCGATGAGGTTTACTCACATCCCTTCAATACATCTCAAAGAAGTGACTTCATGCAATCACAATTTGGGATGGTAACAAGAGTGCCCAACCACTTATAAATAGAAGCGAAGTGACTTTTTGACAAGGTTGAGTCCTAGTTAGCTGTTCGCCTTTCTCAACCGAAATCTCGGTTGTGAACCATGTAGCAGTGAGCCAGCGACCCATTAGTTGCCCAAATGAAGCTGGCAATGTAGCGATGGGTTTGAGTATCAAAGTTTGTTCATCAAGGACATCCTTGGTGCAAAAGCTGTCTAAAAAAGGAACAGATTTCATCAGTCGAAGTTATTGAACACCCTTCAGCGAGCAAGAATCACACTAGAAGCCAAGAAGCAGGAATTCTAGGGCATGTATTGTTGATCCGAGTCTGCATGCTGGACTCCGATCCACGAAAGTCACTTTTGGCCGAGTGAAGGAGCATACAATGGAATTGAAGTCCTCATAACTGCAAGGGCTAATTTTCACATAGGGAGGTGATACTTTCCTGTACTTGTTCCTCGTAGAAATGGGCTGAATCCGGTTGAGTTTTGAACAAACCGAACGATCACAAATTCTCAGAAGAGCAACCTTGGTGATCTATTGTTCAGCTGAACTTCAAAATAAATGACCTCACCTGTGATTTTGTGCTTAAAGCTTGTACTCTCACACATCTCAAGTTAAGCTCTAGATTTCGAAGTGTCTTTAGAGATAAATCTTCATTAAGTTCCTTGCATGGCAGATGCTAAGATTAATGTCACTCATGTACGTTGGACATGCCCAATATTCAGATATCGAAAAAGTATTCTCCATAGAAGAGTTGGAAAACTGCCTCCACCTTCAACATCGGACTATACAAGGGAGGTCCTCTTAAGTTTGTTAAATTCAACAGTGGAAGTCCTCAATCATAACCCGCAGTACTGCAACTCCAAAGAATACTAGAGAAGAAGGTGTAGCAAGAAGGAAGAAATAAAAACAAAAACGAACTGACCTACATTTGAAGATACTGACGGTCAGTCATTGAATAGCGAGAAAACTCACAAACCAAAAAGCTCCACAATGTGAAAGACGAAAATTTCGCAGAGGGAGAGACCAGAATAACAACGAATACATATAAATACATAAACTGAAGTCTAGAGAAGAGGAGGAAGACACAACCAAGATCTTCACGTAAGTGTCCACTGCTTTGCCGCCAACCCGGATCTCTGCAGGTGATGAGCAAATCTGAGCGAATTTGCTCCAAATTGCTCATCTTCCCACCAGAGAAGATCAAGAAGATAGGTCCCGGACCATACGTCGCTGCTGGATGCAAATGGGTCCAAATGACCAAACGGGTCTGCCCGCCTCCAGGCAGCCGCCTCGACCAATGCTACGCACCGCCACCTCGATCTGAACAATGGGATCGATCACCAAATCTGCCCCGACTCGTTCTCTTCGGAGAAAACGCGCTCTCGCGCTCGACATGGATAGAACAACGTCTCGAAGCAGTCACATCGTAGTTGTGACTCCGACTGCAGCACCGGACCCACCTTACTCGGTTCGGGCCTCAGCAGCTCTGTCCCCGCTGTACGGCCACGCGTTGAGGACGCCCCGCCTCCGGCCGCCCACGACCCGCGGAAGAGGAACTGTTTCATATAGAAATCGGAATATACATGCGCATGTAAAGAAGAAGAATATATCGTAATAAACTGGAGCAGGTGGTCTTCATGAAAATCAAAAGTTCCGACAGCGAAATATCATCGAGGTGGTCATGTGGAGTTATTAAGCAATTGTACAGCTATTACAAATAGGTCAAATATTTATAATTTGATATGATTGTCCACTCGACCTGAGATATGTGAAGATATATATGCTCACTGTATATATATCTTCACATATGAGTTAGTTATGGACGGGTAGTTATCCTTCACCTAGGTCTCGTTAGCTTTCCCTCTATTGGGTGGATGTGATAAAATTTGAATTTCGTGATTTCACTTCTTTTGAATGTATTCCAAAGATGCCATGATGTCAGTTCTCAAGTAAGAAATTGATTGTCATGTATTAAAAAACGGTCTAGTGGGTACAAATTTTTGATGAAGACCAAAAATTGATGGTAAGGTTAGTTGATGTTCAATGCGAGTGCGGTGGGATTGGATTTTTCTGGACGTACTCTGTTCCTTTAGTACTAGACACATGCACTGTATATTTGCAAGATTTCCTAAACTGGGAAAAAAAAGTTCAGTGGAGTCATTGAGTTATTCGGCGCATTTGCATTGAGCACCAATGTCTAAATTGCCACTTGTGCATATTCTCTTGTTCGCATCCACGAGCCTGGTTTCGCTTCGAGAAATCTTGACGTGGTTTTTAGATCGCGGAGGTGGCAGTCAACTTTTTACGTAACAGATGACACCATGGTATCTTTAGAGTCAATTAGAAAAAAGTGTAGACGCGAGGTTTAACTTTCCCACACTAACCCTATAGCCCCATCTGCCCAATGATTGAAGTCTATACACTAGGGTGAGTGCTAATTAGTCACGGGTGAGGTATAACTGGCGCTCCCATTAATTATCATTCACTTAGAGTTAACTAGCACTCACTCTACTATACGTTGATAGGTACAATTCTCTTATCGGTTTCCTCAAGTGAATAACAATTATTTTTAAAATAAAATGTTCTACCAATCCGATAAAAGATTAGAGTAAGGTGAAGGTTAATTAACCCTGAGCTAGGGATAACTAGCCCTAACTATATATATTGTAGATATATAGTTGATTGTATATCGATATCTTTGATCAGCCCCTTTGCCAGCCGGAAGTTTTGTATCCAGAACGGCAATACTTGGTGAAATGAACTCTCGTCCACTGTGCATTTGCAGAAGACCACAATATCACATGGGCCCACTCGAACGATCTCACCTGCAACTATAAGCATACCGTACTCTGAGATTTTATAGACCTTCAGTCTATGTGAATCTATGCTCAGGAATTCTTTAACACCTTACAAATTCCCTGTTCTCAGCTTGTCAGCGTTTTTAGTCTGGAGTATCTGGGATCACACAGTGTTGCATATGAACACACTTATTTAATTCCTGACTCCTGAGCACATGTAAAGCAAGGTGGAGCTTTCACCGATTCCATACACGGCACCGGGAAACTGAGCTGCAGTTATGTGACACGGCGAGGCGGTACCAAGTACGAAGTACAGGATGATGAGATATTTCGTCTTGCCAGCTGAAATGCCCGGAACGATCATCTTCCAGAGTTCTTTTTTGGACGGTCCATTGATGAAGCAAGAACTAGGAAGCCCCATCACATCTTATATAGATCAAATCAACCATGGGTTCAGACATGTCTCCTAAAATCTGGCGTTTTGTTGTTAGACGCAAGAATTAATCTGCCAATCTGCCAAAATTAATTTGGCCAAGATTCCATACATTATATGGAATTTTGTCCAAGTAACTCCAGGAGGACGGAGTAACTGTAATGATGCAAGTCAACGAAAGAGGCTGTGAGTGCAAACTGTGAATCGGGAACCTCATTGTGTTTTTAAGTTGACATGAAGTTGTGAATAGATGACCAGATTCCCTATCTTTGTTGTGCACGGAAAAAATAAGAAAAATACTCAGCAATGATGAGCAAGTTGTGCAACAAATAATTAGAAAAATTAAGAAAAATTTAGCTCTAGTATATTTCATCATTTTTTTACTTTCAATTCTGTAGCATGTTTGTTTTTATCATTGTTTTTATTCGTTTGAACATAAGGACCCAATTTCATTTCATAATTTTTTTTTGCTTTTTTATTTCATTACATTCCTATAAAATATTTTTTTTTATCATTATGAGTTTTTTCTTGACTAGATTATAATGCCCAGATACATTTCATATATTTTTTTCCTTCATTCAAATGGTTATCCTGATCTAAATCATTTTAGAGTCTTCACTTCTATTTATTATCTTTTCTTACTACACGTGTTACATGACAACAATGTTGGATTAGTTAGCATATATCAAAATCTCGTTAGCATGGTGTAGCATGATAGTGTACATAATACAATAAGGCGATTTGATTTAAAATGGTGTAACCTAGACTTCAAAAGATTGCAACATAGGATTGCACCACATCCAGATCTGCTTTTTACAGCCCTCAAACGTGAGTATTCATGTTCGATTACAAAAAAATTCTAATTGGGGTCCATTACACTGCCATACATCTTAAATTGAGTTATGAAGTTTAGCAGATTCGCCCATGCCCTTCAACTTTAGATCATAGTTTGTTCTATTAAAATTACCAAAATGTTTTTACATCTACAACTATTTATGCTTGAAAGAGTACACATTATGTCTTGATAGATCGCTTTCTATATGTATAAACTTTACATAGATGTCATGTGAGCATCTTAGAGTTGATCACACATACATTTTAGAATAACAACTCCATTTAGTCATGTGATAATTGCTGGCTTCTGTTTCTTAATAGATTAATAAGATTAATCATCATGAGAACGTTTTAGCACTTTGTCACTAATAAGCAGTCATGCATTATGGATATCAGTTTTTCATCATCTTCGTCAACATTAATTTACTTTCACCAGAAAATGAAAAATTTGAAACCAGTATTATGCAAGTTTACATCACTATAATTCTTCATTCATAATAAGTTCGTCTTGCAAAAAAATGTTAAAAAATTAAATTTGAATATATCTTGTGCTTGTAATACTTTAAGAACTTGGAAAAGCTTGTAATCTTTATTCATTTCATTATTATTCTAAGTATCTTTTTGAGTTCAAAGTTTCTTCTCTTCTATTAGCATGATCTTTCACATTATAGATTCATTGCTCTACAATATCCTGTTATGTTTCAAAACTCTTCTTGATTTACTATTTTGACCTTGTAAGATTATGTGTCTAACTCTCTAAAGAGTAATACACACATCAGTAGGTTCTTTTCAGATTGATTACTGAAAAATTTCATTAAAAAATTTCCCAGTTTCACCTTTTACATTTAAGAGTCAAGATAATTAAGACATCAAGTTGTATATATTTCTTTTCAATTTGAGCTTCCAAACGGATTTTTTACATCAACTTACTACTTAAATTTGCTAAATTTGTGAATGTAGTGCTAAAACTTTGATTCATGTAACTTAGACTTGATACTTGGAGATAATGAATAGATGACAAGATATATGAATGTCATTTTTATACTGAAAAATTGCATGTGGCATTGGAGATATTTTTATCTCGCTTTTAAATCCATCAAAATATTATTCCGCCTGCATTTATTTAACTTTTGATAACCTAGTTTTAAAACTCATCAGCAATTATTTGACACCATACAACCGACGGCTTTTGAGGGTGAAATGATACTTGGCAAGGAGACATTTACCATTTTAGAATTTTTTAAAAGCAAGGGTGAACAATGATAAAGGTTATAAAATCTCTGGTTTTTTATGCTACTTAAGCGTTCTTTTTTATATATATAATGTGTGATTTAAAATCAGTATATTTCTTTGATATGTGTGAGAGGTGAGGATGAAATTTCTTTCCGTCTAAATAAACTCTGATTATTATTGAAGATTTTTTTCTATCTTGAAGACAATATGAGCTCATGTATTTTTCATTTTTCTTTTTAATAGTGTAAAGACTTTTAGTCTAGTTTGAATAACCAAAAATCAGTATTATTTTGAAACTTGATGGTAAACCATATCAGACAAGCTCGTACAGAAGATTATTTCAACAAGGTTTTATTCTTTTAGAACTTCCATCACTCATGCATAAAGATTTTCTGACGATCACAAGTTGCCTAGCAACGTTATTAACATCCGATTTAATTTAATTAATTCATTTATATTTTAATTACTGAACGGTCATTCTACTCACATACTAGAGTGAAGAATTTTGGATACAAAAAATTCTTGGTTTCAACTATGAAAGAACTTGATTAGGTCATCACATCCTTTATGTTATTCTCGTTACTTTCTTTTGAAGCTACCTACATGGACCTTTATAACATGAAGACATAATTATTGAAGCTTGTGGCCACCAGCTATACGTATGCACTGACTACACACTTTGGACGAAGAAAGGGATGAGAATGTGAGGAACGGAAGGGGAGCGAAACGCTCAGTAGGATATTTGTATCACTACATCGTGGTGTTTTCAATAATCTCAAAAATGTTGAAACTCCACTTTACAGGGCACCTAAGAAGCTACCCGAAGATGTACACTTGTTGCCACGCTCCAAGTAAGTGGCTTTATAGCTTTGTCTAGCTTGTGGCTCCGAATTACACACTTCGGAGTGGTTGGCAACTTTCCACAGGAGCTCTGCTGCTGTCTCACTTCTGCAGTGCGGTGGCAAGTGGTACTATAAGTGTGAAAACAAGTCAGTCCCGTAGAATCGACGCATGGAATTTCGAGATTCCTGTCTTGAGTGGAACTGTTTTCGGATCTGTCTGTACTTCTACGCTGAGAATCATCAAGAGCATCACAAAGGGCAAGAAATCATT